CATGGAATACGTTGATACTTCAAGTGGCCGCATTGATGCGGTATCTTTAAATCTGTACAGATTGGCTAACTGGCTTCCAGTGCAGTTGAGTGTGCTCTCTTCTATATGAACATAATATGAAGCGGAGAAGTTAGCTGTTGGATTAGCGACCGTAAACTGGAAGAAGGGGAGGATTTCAAATACTCCGGCACAAGGCTGTTGCCAATGGACAGTGAAAGGCTGACATCGCACCCTGAATTGCTGTTGCTGCCAAGTTTTCCAGAATCCTTAGAAAGTGTCCTTGGACTTAACACGATATCTTCATCGCCACAAACACCCACGTGCATCGGAAATCCGTATAGGTAGTTCAACCATACGGCAGTGAATGTCGCGAATATAGGCGAAGACTGTCGATACTTGACCACCATTGCCTGAGAATAATCCTTCGAGTCAAGCACATTGGCTTTGTCTCAGATGGGATAGTCAGCACCCACTGTGACCGCATCACATGGGTGTCTTAGATCGGTCCGGGAATTTCTTGCTTATGATACCCTACTTTACCTGAAAACTATTATTTCCAACAACTCACTACTGTCATCGATGACTTTGTTTTATTTTCTCTCTAGGTTGTCATTTTGCAGATGGGCTTTTGGCATTACCAACAAAGACAAGGGGGACTGGAGTGGCCATTTCTGGCCTATTAGCCGTCGTCAGCCAGTCCTACCTAACCCTTAAGTGTGGAACACTTGGGGCTCGATCCCGCGACCTGGTGGTTAGAAGTCCAACGCCTCTAACCACTGAGCCACGGGCTCGCTGTCCTGTCGGTTGCGGTCGATTGCATACAATGACAGAGGGGCGCTCATCGACCGTGTTACAGAACTCGCTCGATACACTTGGGCCGATCTCAGGGGTAGTAGTTATTTTTGGTGATTTTCACCTTCGTTATCTACTGTAACATCGGTCCGATCTGTGTCGTTGATTCATAGTTTCACACTGTTTACACCCCTCATCCTTTATACTTGAAGTCTGTAGTCTTAGTTTATTTTAACCCAGTCTTCAGAGGTACCCTTTCCGTAAAATTTGTTCGCATTCAAATGACTGCCTGTTTTTTTCTGTCATGATTTGCGATGTCCTATAGGTTCGGCCAACATTCTTTGAATAATATGAGCGGGTCATGTAAAGTTGACTGCTAATTTCAGCGTGTGAGTGGAAGCATCCAATAAATATCTCATAATCTGCGAATTTCGTCACATTTATATGTTAAAATCTGTGAGTATTTGTTTTGTAAGTGAATCCGAAATCGTTGGCGAATGAAATTTCTGTTCCTGTTTCTTGGAACTAATCTCTTAACCTTTGTTACCAATGTCTAAGCCCGTCGATGAAATCGTCCCGGATATGCCGACGTTCACTAGGTACTGGTAGTGTGGCATGAGTGAGCGCGACCGCCACTCATGCTATCTTCACCCCGCGCCATGCTTTCCGTCAATCCGCCGCGTGAACCGCGCGTGATTGGGTGCCGGCGTGACGAAAGCCTGACCGCCAATCGGAGCAGCATCCTCCGCTGATTGGCTACACATGGATAAGGCCCGGACGCCCGACACGGGCCCGGCGAGACGACTTACTGCTACCGCCTGCTAAACTGCGCGTACGTTCCTCGTTTGTCCAACCTACTCGGTCTTTTCTGGCTGTTGACCTGACAACCCCTGAGTTGTCGATCATCGCACTTTGACAAATCGAAAGGTAACTCTCGCGGCCGAGAGCAGAACTACGGTACGGTGCTAAAAACTGATGATGGCGTTGAACTTTACAAGGACGACGAAAAGGCTGAGCATCTGTCCAGGTTCTTTCAGTCGGTTTTTACGGAGAAGTCGCTGTACCCACTGATCACTGTAATGTGGACAATGTCCCGACAATTGACTCAGTGGTTCTCACAAAACCTATTGTTCAACAGGAATTACTGAAGCTAAAAGAAGGGACTTCGCCCGGTCCTGACGAAATACCGGCAAAGTTGTTGAAGGAATTAGCCACAGAATTGGCAGAACCTCTGAGCGTCCTCTTCCAAGCCTCTCTTGATGCAGGCAGACTGCCTCCTGAGTGGAAGGCTGCGTGGATTTCACCGATTCATAAAAATGGCAGTCGCGCTTCCGCAAACAACTACCGACCAGTAAGTCTCACCTCCATATGCTGCAAAGTTATGGAGCGAATAATCAAACGCGAACTGATGCGGTTTTTAGAGCAAAATCATCTTCTGTGCGATGCACAGCACAGCTTCCGCAGAGGGAGGTCCTGCTTGACCAATCTACTCTACTGTCTTGAACAGTGGACCCGAGCGATTGATGAAGGAAACGTTGTGCATGTGGCCTACACAGACTTCAAGAAGGCCTTTGACAGCGTGCCACACCAACGTCTCCTACACAAGCTCAGCCGCATAGGGGTAAGAGGCAAGCTTTTTGAAGTGGATTGAAAACTTTTTGGTCGGTCGGTCCCAGACTGTTCGTCTTGGTGGCCAGCACTCGGCAGAGGTGACGGTTACGAGCGGAGTACCTCAGGGCTCCGTTCTTGGCCCTATCCTTTTCCTCATCTATATTGATGGCTGTATCCATGGATTGGACTGCAAGATTGCCATGTTTGCTGACGATATAAAGCTTTGGACCGTCATCCGCAACGAGGACGATGAAGCAAATTTACAGGCAAACTAAGACCGACTCGAAAAATGGTCAGGCCTCTGGTTCCTCCCATTTAATGTTACCAAATGCAACATTCTGAGGATTGGCAGAACCAGCTCTGCGCACCGGCAGACGTACTATCTAAATAACACACCGCTGCCACTGGTAGAGGTTCAGAAAGACCTAGGGGTGTGGATAACATCTTCACTAAAGCCATCATTCCACTGCTTGAAAGCAGCGAAATCCGCAATGTCCAGCTTATATCTCATTAAGCGGGCATTTGCCAAGTTCGATGAAGAGTGCTTCAGCAAGGTCTTCGGGATGTTTGTGCGCCCACAGTTAGAATTTGCCATTCAGGCCTGGAGACCCTGGACTGTTAAGGATCGTACCACCCTCGAAAAAGTCCAACGACGGGCAACCAAGCTTGTCAGAGGTCATAAAAACCTACCTTACGAAACCAGACTTTCAAATCTAAACCTCTTTCCCCTGGACTACAGACAACTCCGTGGCGACTTAATTCAAACGTTTAGAATTTTACGGGGTCAGGTCTGCTGCCTCGCATCCGGCGACTTCTTTGAGCTGGCCACCACTACTAGCTTGAGAGGACACCCTCTGAAACTACGTGTGACAGGAGCGAGACTGGACGCAAGGAGGTCCTTCTTCAGCCACAGAGTGGTAAAGGCATGGAACGCCCTGCCTGTGGATGTCGTCATGTCCTCATCCGTGGACTCATTTAAGAGAAAGCTTGACCAGTACAGGGATATGTACCTCCACAGCATCAGAAACTAACGAATTCCCCCCTGTGCCACCCGCCCCATCCAACGTTTTATGTTACAAAGCATGCTACTCCCTATATTGTAGTAACATTATGTTTTACAATTTTCACTATCTACTGACCGCCACATATGCGCTTGCTTTGATATTACTTGGTCCATTCATTGCCGTACTGGATATTGTACAATTTTGACATAGAAGACATTCACATACAAATTCATACCAGTGACCAATGCTTGCTGTATGTAATTACCTACCTTTTTTCACACTTGCCTTACACATTGTTTTTTTATGACGTTATTGTAACCAAAAGGGAGTTCAAAGGCGCTCGCCTACTTTTCCCTTAATAAATCTGATCTGATCTGATTATTCATCTGATACCAAAAAGCACTTTAAAAAGCACCAGAAGCCAAACGGATAAAAATGCATGTTTTTAAGGCATTTTTATGTAACAGAGGTTGCATTAATATTCGGTTGTTGAACTTCTGCTCGATTTTGTCGGGCATTTCCGTCTGTGGCAGTAGATGGCGAAAATAGCCTGTTTGAGACTCCAGACAATTAGAAAGCCATCAGGTATACAAGCAGTTGCAATCTCATGCCGCGGACAGAGCCCGAACTTTAAGCAGTCACATAGCTAAAGTGGGTGACATAACTCCTGAAACATTGGCTGCACTAAGAAAGGATTGCTTAGGTGGGATTGATTACCACACAGCATAATCACAAGATACTCAAGTCACGCCAGGATGCTGGCTTTCGGAGGCGCGTCGTTCCGGCCATCTGCAAATCACACTCTCTAAAATGACTACTGCCAAAACATCTATGAATCCCTATGAATGTGTCCATTTATTTTCAAAGTCTTTATAAACTCTAAGATATGTTCTGGGAAGCACGCAAAAAAGCCTACCTGCCAATATTCGTTTTGTAGCAAAATACACCTTTAAGTCTTTTCCTCGAAGAAAGTATACATCTTCCAGCTGTAAAAGGCCATTAATTTCTCGTCTATTTTTGGGCTCCGACTGTCAATGTACCTGCATTTGAGGTTCGAAAACTACAAATTGTACATTTGCCATCCATAGAACATCATACACTGTTTACTGCCAGCAAGAAAGCGTTATTCAGCGCTCATAAAGTTTCACACCAGACGTGGCCCGCGGTGTTTCTTCAATAAATGTTTCAGGATCCTGAAAAACCTTTCAATTGCAGCCGTTTTCTGGAAAAGGAAGATACTCTTTCTTCGGGCAGAAGGTTCGAGGCCGTAATTTTGCGAAAACAAATATCAGAAAGGATGTTTCGTGCACGCGTACTATAAAATATGCTAAGGTTTACAAAAGCGCGAAAAATAAATAGAAAAATATGTGCTACACAAATAGTCATTGTTAATGAGGATAGCTTTTGTAGGTGGCCTTAACGACGCGCATTCACAAGCCATCATCATTGGAGTGGATGAGATTTCTTTGGATAATACGACATACCAATCGTTATTCTCTCCCTATCTAAGCAAACCTTTCTAAGCTAAGTCATTTCAAAATTTCAGTTAATGTGTCAGGAGTGGTACAACCTACTGCGCATTCAGCTTAATGATCAAACGTGTTCCGCGGAGCAGTATAGTCTGGAATATAGGGACGGATTAAAGCTGCTACTGGGACCCTCATAAGAGCGACGAGCAATCTCAAACTCCAGACAGTCATAACCCTCGGGAAAGTAGTCTTCGTGGAATTTGTTGGCAAAGAGTTGCGGCGCCGTCAGCAGTTCTGGCAGGCTCTGGGAGCCGAGGATACAGATATCGCGAGCGTACTTTGAAGGACAGAAGCCGGGATGCCAGATTTTGTAACGAACTATGCCACTGTGACGCCGCGCATCAAAGTTCGGTTCGTCCGCCTCGTGAATGCGCAGACATGCGCCGGGAGCGCCCAAATGAGCATTGTAGGCCAGAGTTGCAAAGAACTGCTCATCGGGGTGCTTGTGATAGGCGGAGAGACGAAGAGTTTCACGAATTTCTACGGCTTTAGGATCCTGCAGCATGAATCGGACAAAGTCCCTCCGCAGCACTACGTGAACAGCTCCTTTCAGCCACGCTACCTTAACAACAAAAGGGGATGAAAGGCGATTTAGAGGTCTAAACGAAGCCACTCACTTTCCTTTGCAGACCCAGTTAAGCGTACTGGCAACCTTACAGTGAGTGACCTATCTCATGAAATGTTGACTGAAATTCTGAAATATGTTTTCGATTAGGAAGGATTACTTGGACGCGGTTGTAATACTGATTATCTTGCGCCATAATCCAATAATATTTCGGATTCGGCAGGATGTCAGCTTTTAAACACACTGCTTTTTAATCGTCTGTAGAAACCGTACTCGGTAAAAAGTGAATACTTAAGTAACATGGATTTTTCCCATTGATTTTCGATGGTCTTGCAAATTCAAATATATCTTATAGAAACCATAAACAAAACTATGCTTGTTTCCAGTCAATTTATAGAGAATCACGTCTTCTTTACATTTTTTATTCAAGGAAGGAGTATAATTAGGTTTTAAAAAGTTTTCCAATTCCCGAATAATTTTGAACCAGATCTGCCATTGCATTAGCGTTTAGCGATTTCCGTTTACAAGGTGCTTGCTTTCCACGTAAGGGAAATCATATAATCCTCTATGCCTTTAGGAAGATACCATATAGAGTTTCTAAAATTTTGCAATTGATCCGGACTATGTTGTACATTTTACGAGGAGCTGTCGTCAACGTCCAGGTACGACGCTACGTGAATGGACATTGCGCGGTCTTAAAAAAATCGCATAGTTGGAAACTTTTTTAAAACCCAATTATACTCCTTCCTTGAATAAAATATATTAAAAAGACGTGATTCTCTATTAATTGACTGGAAGAAAGCAAATATTTGTCTCTGGTTTCTATGAGATATATGTGAATTCGCAAGCCTATCGAAAATCAATAAGAAAAACGCATGCTACATAAGTAGTCAGTTTTTACCGAGGACGCTTTCTACAGGAGATTAAAAAGAAGTGCATTTTAAAGCCAACATCCTGCCTAGTCCAAAATATTATAAGAGTATGCCTTAAGATAATCAGTATTACAACCGCGACCAAGTAATCCTGCCTAATCGAAAACGCATTTCAGAATTTCAGCCAACATTTTATGAGATAGGTTAATCACTGTATATTCCAAGTATGAAACACAAAAAGTTCAAAATTCCAATGAAACATTTGACAAAGTGTGGTATACAGCTATCTCTTGTCTATGGTAGGGACCTTTGCCTTGTGCCTTTTAGCAGAGCAGACGTTTAGGTGCCCATCGCGTGCTTAACAGAATGGGCGCAGCATTAGAACCTTACGCGTAAGTTAATTTACAGCGCGGTGGACTTGCGCGGCACCTCCTGCACCCTCTCATCCGTCATTCATACTGCTTCGGCGACAGTACAGTGTCAAGGCGACCAAAGGTGGGTGCGGGAGCAGTGAGCAAAAAGGTCACGCAGCCCATCTACGTGTGCCACACACGATCAGGTTCTCAGTACATGCACCAATATTTCACTACGGCGGCTCGGATCGCACAGATATAAGAATATGAAAAAGACCACATTGACAAGAAACCATTGGAGCCGGACTTCCAGTCCCACTTCACGACTATCAACGCATCGTAGATGAAAGTGCATCAGATTTTTGATAATGAGGAATGCGCCGACATGCCGCTCAGATAAATCCTCCAATGTCGACCCCACTCTCCCTCTCTTCCATGCGTCAGTCGACTGCCTGAGCCGTCAGCCACCTGGTGGAGGGATTAGGCATAATGATCGACTGGGCTGGAACAACCCATCTACCTATGCCACAGACGACCTGTTCACCAGGCAATGTACTGGTTTCATCATAAACACGCCTTCTGCTCTCGTGCGAGTTGCGTGCTTTTCAGTGCAATGTGCCATCAATGCCAGCTTAAAAAACAGCCATTGAGCCTGACTTTTGATTCTCGAGTCTGTCCCCCCATGTGCACACAGTACTGGCCCCGTGAGCCGCATGATCCCGTCAGTTTACAACCTCCCAAGCCACGAATCTTAATGTGTCGTGATAGAACCGGGCACGTCAGATTTATTACAATGAGGAATGCGTTGACATGTTGTAAGGATGGATGGTCAGATATGGCTATGTGGCCGCACCTAAGGTAGACAAACCCCGGCCGCCTATAACACGACGCCGGTGGTGATAGGGGTTTTTAAAGATGAGGCCGGGGAACGCGCAGGTGACGGGGTCAAGTAATTGTATGCAAAACAAAAGCGGCAGGATCCCTATTGATAGCCGTACCCACTGAAACCACCATTGTACCCACTGAAACCACTATTATACCTACTGGTTTGATTTCAGTAGGTGTGATTACGTCCTCATTATGTGCAGTGTTCCTCCTGGACCAACATGCCGGAGAGGGAAGAGGGACGGCAACCCCCTCAGGTTTGCAGTGGTACCGAAAATTGAGGAAAGTATGGTGAGTCTGTGTCGGTAATTTTTCAACTAGCTTCATATGCTCAGACTCTTCTACTTAGTATAATGCGGCCTCACTCGCCTACTCAAAAAGTTCACCGGCAAATTCGCTTATCATTGGCAGACAGTCAGCCAATCCGAAGTCGTGCTCTACTCCCAAATAGCACGAGACGAGAATTTGGGTTTCTAGAAAATTTTAAAGGAAACTGGAAAGAGGTATTTACAATTATGAGAAGAGGTGAAAGACCCATCGTATAAGCAATCAACTTTACTGATTCGAATACATAAGAGCTGATGCACTTAGTATGTATGCAAATCCCTATTTAGTTCATAAAAATGCGGACTTACGTATAAAGTAACAATTTTCAGCTATTGTTTTAGTCAGTGTGGCAGGGTTAAAATTTTCGTCGAGAAACTTTTTACCTAGTTTAACACGCCCAAATAACTGCAGGCATTTCCGCATAAGAGAGAAATATAATTTGTTATTTCTTACGTGTAGCCCTGTTTTCCAATGTCTGACCGGTATATCACTTTCTTACGCTTACTTAATATACGTATACAGTTATACAAGCGTAGACACCAAACTGCGATTCTTAGAAAGCATATGAAAATAAGGGGAGTCGTTCAAGGCGAGCACTTCTCTGTATTAATGAGGACGTAATCACACCTACTGAAATCGAACCAGTAGGTACAATGGTGGTTTCAGTGGGTACGACTGCCAACAGGGATCCTACCACAAAAGCTATCAGGAATGCGCGGTTGTAATTTGAGGGGTTGATAAATAGTTGCCCTAACTCCTAACCCTAACCCATAACCCTAAACCCTAGCCCTAATCCTTAACCCTAACCCTGACGCTAACCCCAAACCCTAACAATATTGTGTTCATCAGGTGCGGCTGTATAACCACGTTTTACCGGATGGATTCCCCAGTGTCGGCTTCTCTCGCTCTCTTCCCTCTCTCATGCACTAGTCGACTACGCAACACAGGATCGGACAAAGGGAAACACACCGTCCCCACTTCCTGTGCCAGGATACGCTAAAGAACATGCGTTTTCAGAGGTGTTTTGGCAGATTTCAAATAATTCATCTTGATCCAACTGTGAAAAACGCAGTGCCTCGGTGGGATTCGAACCCACGACAGTAAGGGTAAGGCTTTAGTACAGACAACGCTCTAACTATCCGAGCTAGGAGACCCCACCGGACGACGCGAGTTTAATCATGCTTTTTGGCCACGTGAGGTGTTTCGTCATGTTATGCTTCGTTTTTATATATGACAAAGAGAACCGCTGGCATCCTGTTGGAGGAAAGTCTGTTACAATAGGAGCGGGAGGGCTCCATTTCACACTAAAAGTCCAGCACTTTTCAATTGGCGACCGTGCACAGATAGGCAACCACACGTCGGAGTCCCAGAGTGACGTACGTGGCCAGACAAATCCTCTGCAATTTGGGCGGGTCGATGAGCTCCACCCGTCACCACATGCTTCTACAGTCTGCCCGGATTGATACTGTAGCCGCCTGCTTTAACGGTCGTCGTCGTCGGCGCCGCCACCGCCGACTCGTGTCGCCTTCGCCTGTCAGGCTTTGCGTACGTGTATGTGACGACCGCCAGCGCCGGACACCAATCGATATTTTCCTCTTTACCGATTGGCTGCAGCTGGGTGAAGTCTCACGCGGACACCTGCCTGGTGAGAGCGCTTGCGGCACTTCTTCCTGAGCTTCCTGCACGTCCTGTTGCCTGGGTAGGATTTGTCAAACCCAGCCCTTCTTCCCTGACCTGTGGGCTGGGAACCTTCGTGTTGTCGGCCCTTGGGAACCCCCGCGTCCGCTCGTCCCCCAGACAAGATCTCGGCAAACGCAGCGGTAGATACAATCAGGTGCATGCACGCGCGATTCGACCTTGCCACTTTGCTGCAATTCCCAAGACCTTTTTTTTGCTTATTTTGTGCAGAATAAAGCCATTTATCGCGAGATCAGCGTGTTCAGCGGCGCACGTGTGTACACTGTGGGAGCGACGGTCGAACCGTCATAGGTGAACCTGATTGCTTTTCTTAGTAGGTAATCGTCAGTGGTTCAGTTGCCTGCATATGTCATGAAAGGACTGAAACAGGCGTTGTGTCAACTTTCCCCTATTTGTCGTCCCGCCCCTGATATGTGGACATGCTATCCTAATTTGATTACTCCTTTGTCGTTTAAAAGAACAATAAATAGATCCAATCAGCAGTCAGCATGATCATTTGCACAGGCAGGTAGTAGCAACGTAATTGGATAGCCTGAGGACGAAGATCACAAAGCTGTTTCGAATCTTCGACCGGCAGTAGGGAGGGGGGGGCTATTCACCTGTTTTGCTGGTCCTTGTAGTCCTCTTCTGAAAATTTCACTTTTGGGCGAGGATTGGTTCTGCAGCCCCACTTGGTTGGGGCTAAAACAATTTTAGTACAGTAGGTGGGCTAACGCATGAAATGTCAACCGAAATTCAGAAATGCGTCTCCGTTCCGAAAAGACTAATTAAGCAGGGTTGTAAAACTAATGATAATGCGGCGTAATTTTATAATAATTTAGTTACCCCAGAATGCAGGCTTCCAAACAAACTTCTTTACGGCTGCATGCAAAATCTAAAATATGTGAAAAATGACTACTTAGGCGACATACATCTTTCTCATTGATTTTAAATGTCCTGAAAAATTCAAATATATTTCATGCAAAGCATGCTCAAAAATATTCATTCTTTTGCACATTCAAGAGAAAATTACATCATCGTCTAATTTTATACTCGAAGGAAGGGTATAAATCGGTTTTGAAAAAGTTTATGCCGTGAAATGGCCGTTTATAAAACGTCATGTGTCCGCATTGACCAATGTGGGGTAACAATCGGGAGATGGCACCCAAAAAAATCCGCCTAACAAAAGCAGCCTGTTTTACGGGACAGGTGGTAATAGGGGTTTTATGGGTGATAGCTGATGGGGATATACGATACTAGCTGACAGAAAGCCTTATTTGAACAGGTGAATGATCGAAGTTGGCCCGCTCTCCGTCCCGTTATTACAAAGTGGGTCGCCAAAGGCAGTATAGTGGTAACGGACGAGTGGAAGGCGTATAATCGTCTTCTCTCAGAAGGTTATCTACATTTCTCTGTTAACCACTCAAAGAACTTCAAGGCCCCTACCACCGGACGGCACACAAATGCCATTTAGGCATACTGGAGTAGACTGAAAAGGGAACTCCACGAGGGAGGCCCTGTATGTGGTCGAGCTGTGTGGGCCCACATAGACGAAGTATAGTATCGTCTTTGGTTTGGCCTCAATGCCATGCCTTTGACAGATGCCTGGAAACTGTTCCTATTCCATGTTGTGCAGACTTATCCTATTCAAAGGTGATTTTGCTTTATAATAAACTGCCATAATGCGAATGTATGCCGTATATTCAGGTGTATGTGTGTAACGATGGGGAAGGTTGGGTAATAGCGACCATCGTCCATGAAACCTCATGCGATGTTCGTTCGGCCAGCCAAAGTTAGGCGGTCGCGGAAAGTCCAAGTAGTGCGTGAAAGTAGGCCTGCAACCGCTGACATAGCCTGAAGGCGTTTGAGTCCACTGATAGAGATATTATTTCTACGTAACGGATTTTTTTGGGTGCCACCCCTCGATTATTACCCCAATGTGGATCGTAAAGTTAACAATATGGATAAAATCCACTGCTAAATTTTAAGAACCCCATATGGTCTCCTCTTAATACTGTTGAGAAATGTATGGTATTCCGTACGCGGAAAATATACGGTTTGTAGTTTGGAAACCCTGAATGCAAGTGTAACGGCAGGTCGGGTTAAAAATGATTCGGGAATTGGAAGTCTTTTTGAAGACCGAATTATGCCTTTCCTTCAAGTATAAAATAAGACGAAGATGTAATTTTCTACCGAATGAGCGAAATAATGCGCCTTTTTATGCCCGTTTTCTATGAAATATAATTGAAATTTAAGGGTGTCAAAAATCAATCAGAAAAATGCATGCTACATGTGTAATCATTTTTTACATGGTGCAGTCGTTGCATGCAGCCGTATAGAAGTTTGTTCGGAAGCCGGCATCCTGGTGTAACTGAATTATTATAGAATTACAGTACATGCTGATTAGTTATACAACCCTACTCAATTAGTTTTTTCGAAACGAAAACGCATTTCGGAATTTCGGTTGACTTTTCATGAGTTAGCCCACCTGTTGTAGATGCGAGTAATCTGATTTTACAAATATTACGTTTTCGCACCTTCCCTATCATTCTAATATAGCGACTGGATATGCCAGGAGGAAGAGTGCTTATACGCCCACCTCGGTTACCTCAGACAACAGTTTATACGCGCTTTCCTGAGCGTGCTTCAAGCCCTACTTGCGCCCTCTTTATTATACCAATTCCGCGAGTGGCTAAGTAGGCCTGCTAATAGAACGGACTAGAACTCCATCGGTTTCACTATAGTGGCCGTACACTGCGGATTACCACGCGGTCCCCTCCATGGTCTTCCAGTTGTGATTACGCCCTCCTTATCCTACAAATCCAGCGAGTGGCTGTGTCGCGGGGCGAATGTATATACGCTTCCCAGCGCGTGGTTCGAGCTCTGCTTGCGCTCTCTTCCTCTTCCTAGTCCAGCGAGTGGCTAAATTAGGTATGTTCACAAATACAGTTTTAGTAATCCAACCCCATGCTATCACTCAAGTGGGGTTGCAAAACCGAACCTCGCCCAATTTTTCAATGAGAAACCAAAAAAGGCATTAAAAAACGACGGGGAAGCCTTACTGGGAAGGTCATCTTCCGGTTAGGAATTCGAGACATGATACGCCGTTTCAGCGAACCACTGACAATGTTTGAACCATTCAGCCTGCTCAGAGCCAGAACCAGTTCCAAGTTCGTTTTCAGTGGTAATTCCTGGCCCGTCAAGTTTATCAAGTACTTCCAGGCACCCATCTCCAGCAACATGCCAGCGGCGATGAGTTCCAGTTCGAGCACCGTGTAGTCTCCCCAGACCACGCGCACGCTGGCATTTCGAGGCACTACGCGTACATTATCGCCAAAACATCGCTGCACCTCGACGACTGCCTCGTAAAAGGCCACTGGTGATTTTCTGTCCACGTGGATCACGTAGAAATTGTGCGGCCTGTAGATGAGACGCAGAAGCCGAGCCACTTGACTGATGCTCCTGAACACAGCCAATGCGAACGCAAGCGGGAACTGCTTCTCTTCCGTGCTCACTGGTGGTCCACTAGGAAAGATTTCCTGCTTAAAGAGACGACAGTCCTCACCATGCCTCTCTGCATTGAGGGCGAGGAAGAAGTTGGTTGACCGGAGTGGGGACAAGCGTTTCGTCGAGTTGTGATGTTGGCGGTTGGCAGAGGAGAACAGCTCGGCGCACCGCGACTTTCTTGCGGCCAGAGAAGCCTTGTAAACAGGACCCCCGGGGATTCTGTTTTGGGGAGTAAAGCGTCGAGTAAGCTCAGCTCTGTCTACGCTTCGCAGAAGATTAAGGCCGACGATGAGGAAGAGGTAGATGGCGACTGACACGAGGGCATATCTCACGCAAGCCGATACCGCTGTCATTTTTGGACACCGCAATGCCATGACCTCTCACATTAGAGGTGTGACGGTTTCGTCGTCCTGATGAGTGGCTCAACCAGTTCGTTGCTGCACTCCTTTCTGAATAACAATGAGATAAACGAGTGCGTCGAGCGTGACCTCTTATCCTTAAGGTCAAAATGACTGCAACCCGAAGTGCCAATTTCGAAATCCCCGGGGTAGTTTGGGAGGGGGATCATTTCTGGAGAAATCCCGTCTCAGACCAACACCCAGGTAGATGCCGCCTTGCATCTGCGAAAAACGTGTATGAGAGTCCCTTTGTCGGCTTTTAGCAGGAAAAAGCATTTGACTGCGGCTCCTGTCCTTTCAATTTACACCTTTATTTCGGATAGATCTAGCTTCATCCGTACTGCAGAAGTGCAATTTAAAGTTCATAGTTGTGAAAGTTCTTTAAACTCGAAGCTCAGCTTCTGCGGAGGGAAAAAGGCTTCTTCCACAATAAAGTGCCTTCCTGTGAATATTAACGCTGAAGAGAATATCGGAGATTCAACCCGTTCAGATGGAAAATAATTTTTCATTTGCAGCGTAGATATTTTCAGGCTGACGACGCCCAAGCTTCCGGGCAGTTATTTTTATAAGTTGAGTAGAGGCAAAGTGAGTCAGCATAATTTTGTACTGTCCCTGAAATGCTTTCCTAAATCACTTTTTTTCAAGTGGACTTGTTGAGGTGGGATGGTCGACTGGGCGAAAGTTTCCAGGTAACAAGGCAGGGGATGGAGTTATCTGGACAACATATACTGTGGCAATAGATCATACAGGCTTGTTCAAGCATTCGGATGACAGGAACGTTAGACAGACTGAAGGCAGCATGGATGGGCCGCTGCTCTAGCAGTAGAGGAAGCAAATTGTCACGATACCCCCAAGCTTGACCGGAGGCAGCGTATACCGATGCTGAAGGAATTCATCATGTCTAAAAACATAAAACCTATGCGGTCAGAAGGTGAGTTTGACGTCATCTGCGGGTGATATAAGCCGCAGGGCCAGAAGGAGCGACCTGAGCGCGTGTTTCGGTGAAGGAGCTGAAGAAGGCTGAGGGGATGCAGTTAGTGACAGTGGAATTTCCGAAAAAAGGAAGTAGACCAGATGGTAGGGAGGAGGAACGCAAAACATCAGAAGCACAGACGAATCAGACGAATTTCTGCGACATTGGCTATGGTAGACAAAACTCACGTGTCCACATGCGCTCTCCTGACTATTCTAGAAACAACCGCAAAATGGCCGACCTCACCCTTACACTTGACAGCTAGTGCTCTCATTTTTAAGAGTCCAAGAGGAGAACAGAAAAAATCAAGATATTCACACAAAAAGCCTCAACGGAGCACTGCCTGACTAGAATTAAAGAAGGCAATCTACCTTAATGCAGCAATGAATTGTAGGAGTGGAGGAGACAACATGGTGCCTGCTTGAATTTTAAATTATTCCTCGAAAGCCAAGCTGGAAAATTTTACGCAAATATCTGTCGAAAACGACGAGTAAGTAGTTCAACTTGGAGACTAAAATTCAAATATATATAACCAAGTTCCCGAGGAAGTTTGCTTCCGTTTTCCTATTGCAGAAGAGGGGGATCTGAATCAAAGAAGCCCATTCCAGGTTAAAGCACCGTATCACATAGACGTGGATATTTTATCTGGATACTGCATTGAGGCAGCAGTTCTTTTTATGAGAAATTTAGATGGGTGTTTGATAATATCCGAGAGGTCAACGTCGGACTTCTAACCTATGGGTCGCGGAATCGTGCCGCAGATTTTCCTTACTTTAGGGTTGCACATGACCGACTGACGACCGCTAATAAGGCAGAAATGGCCATTCCAGTCTCCCTTCCCTTTGTCGGTGATAGCACTCTGCCTATATCATGCGCCGCTCTGCGGCTGCTGGTTGGGCGAGAGAGAGAGACCGTAAGGCACAACGGGACGAGTGAGTTCCGTAAAAATAATCGGTGAGCGCCCTTCTACCACTGTATATTCCTGATCGTAACCGACAAGACAACGAGTCCGTGGCTAGAGACGTTGGACTTCTAACTAATAGGTCGGGGGACCAAACCCCAGGTGTTTCACACTTCGGGTTTAGGTATGACTGACTGACGACGGCTAATAAGCCAGAAATGGCCATTCCACTCTCCCTTGTTTTTGTCGGAAATACCATTCTACGGTATGAATAATCCACTATCTTCGTCCCCATACTCAGTCGAGGTGCACATCTAACTAGGGTATACCACTCATACAGCTGTTAAGTAGGTATTATTATTATTGAAAAACGGCGACCTGACTAATTCTGCTTATCTTCCTGTTGGGAAACCAATCCTCCGTGTCGTTAGCTAAGCGAGCAAGGCAAAAGGAATGCACAGCAAAAGAAGTTTTTTCGCTATCAGAAGCCCAATCAGCGCCCCTGGTAAGACATTCACATTTGTGTAAAAAGACTCCTATCTGTTGCCTAAAACGATTAAATAGAAAAACGCGAGTCAAATCGTACATCGACGGAAAGGACAAACGTGCTACTTAGACGAATTCAGTAGCGCTAAATAGCACTGAGACGGTAAGTCGATGGAGGAGACAAAGGACCCATGACATAACCCAGCCATTATTTCAATAGCACCAACAGCCCAGCATTAGCCACCGTTTCGGGAAGATCAGTTAAACGTTCTAGTGCATGCTGAGTTCGAATTACAAATAAGAGAATTAATTTGGGCCGTTTTTTGCTCGTTTTCAGGAGGTGTAGCGAAAACTGCCACTCACACATGCCATCCTATCGAATCAATTTTCGGCGCTGTGAATGATCATATGAACCGACAGCAGATATCCCCGAACGACAAAGTAAATTGGTTTAAGTCCCTGAAGCCTTTCACGTTGCAACAGTTCTGTCGCCTGGTGTTTCAGTTTTCGACGTTTCTCTTGCCTTTCTGAGCCACCACCTCCACATTCCCAAGCGGGGAAAAATGAGTGTGTCATAGGAACTTTAAATGTTTCTTTGACAGCCTCTGAATGACCATCCATGTGAACTGACGAGGTGCTTCAAACTTCTCTGTGTCCAAGCGTCTAGGTTCCCGGGTATTGACCCTACAGGCAGAAGATGGTGGCTCGTGTTGGTGGTTAGATTACAATTTGTTGGGTGCAGATGTATACGAGTGTTCTTTCGCCCATTGAGGCCAATGGAAATTATTCCTAATGTCTGTTTGATAGTTGGGAATCTAAATGATATGATCGAGTTGAAAGTCATCAACTGCTATGATCTTAGCACATCTGAGTCTCAACATACGGGATGAAAGCTAGTAGGCTCCCAGCCCATCAAAAAGTGCAATAAACTTCCCCCTCTATACTCGGTGCCGAGACTTCGTCTAGGCGGAGTAATTAGCCACGCGGGAAGCGCACAGATGAGCACTTTCCCCAACACCAGGATCGGTGCGTCAGATGGTCGAGCCATCATCACACCAACATCCAACGCACGTGATGAAATTGCAGCAATTAACGACGCAAATGTCGGCCATCAAACAGTCATCACACCACGTGCAACAATCCCTGATGAACGGGGGGACCGTGGACATTCATAGGTATGCGGTAGCATGACGACTGCATCCAATAAGTACTGCAGCCCCTTGTGCATGAGCGACCCGTATCTGCTTTTGTCTCTGATGATGGGTTCGAGCAGGAATCCGAAACGTTAGGCTTATAGAGCTCCTATCCCAGCGATCGTATCTCCTTCATCAAGATGTAATTGATTTTTTAACTATCCTTTCCAGATTCATGCCAGGCTGGCCGGCCAACAATTGGTGGGATATAGACGTGATCCTCCCCTATAGATGGGAATGCCATTGGCCCATTTTCGTGTATCAATAAGCTTTCTAGCCTTCAGCGATCTTGGAAAGATGAAGCGCAGTTGTTCTCTGGCTGCGATGCAAATAGCACCGTAGTTGTGAGTGGGCTAGTGATAAATTGCGGCAGTGCAATCGACTGTAGAAGGGATTCCATGGTATAAACACTTCGGAAATTTCTGCAAGAAGCCCGGCTTTCTGAAGTCCATCGAGTACAATTTAGATGTTTTTTGTCTTCTATGGTTACAGAGCAGTCATAATTCTTAATATTACTCGCAACGTAGGTATGTAGTGCTTTGGGCTTTTGCGGCGCCTCTTTCAGAATCTCCAATCCATATCGAGCGCATGCTTCACTAAGAAGTCTTTTATGTAAATTGCGTTGTCGTTCAAAGTCTCCCGCTTACAGAAGGATTTTTCCCAATTTATGCTTCATTTGATTTGCCTCTTTCCAGCGGCCGTCAACCATTTGGTCATGCTACTGTTAAACGCTTGGAATGCTCTGTCTACAGATGTCGTCATGTCCACCCCCGTCGAGGCCTTTAAGCGCAAGTTGGACCAGTGTACCATTAAGCGTCATAATGTCACCTGACCGACATCGTTTAGCATTTAGTTCGAACAGTTTATTAATGCTGTTATATTACTGCCAGTATTTCAGTAACGTTTGTTTTTTATTATTGTCCCATGTCTGTTGAATGCGAGTGTAGGCAATTAATTCGTCTCCCTCAGAAACGGAGATAGCACCAATTATCCATACAAAGACCACTGTACGGCACATGTAGTAACGTTAATGTGTTTGATACTTGGAACTATTCGTTTATCTGCTTGGTTTCGAAAACTTTGCCAGTGCGAAGAAACTCTGTAGCTCTTTGATGTTTCCGTTTTCAAACTTTTGATATAATTCACTTCCTTGTAACAAATAGGAAGTTCAATGGTCCAACACCTATATTTCCCTCAAATAAGCTGAACGTGAAACTGAAAAATTGGTTGAGGTCTCGTGAAACCTCCGTCTATAGTGAGTGCATAATCGCCTATTTAATTAACTCATATTTTCTTGGCAAATTTGAGATTCGCTTGGGAACGGCTGCATGTTTTGACTCCCATATAAACGTCATCTGACCGAAAGAATCAAGTGCGGACCTATAATTATTTCGCCAACAGT